ATGTATATATATATATGAAAGCAGAACATTCATTAAAATCGAACATTCGAAAAGCAGCGTTTGCTTTTACGATTATTGAACTTCAGCGATTGATTATTCCTTATCAAAAAGTCAGCAATTCATTGCAAATGTGGTCTACGATGCTAATACGTCACAGGTTCGTACTGCATTTCTCTGTAGCTTTTCATATGCCTCAATATATTTTATGTCATTCTTCTAGTCAGATGTATATGTAACGTTTCAAAATTATCACTTCATTGTATTTTATTTGGTTTGTTGAACTGTACAAAGATCTTACGCTAACATTCAAATAATCTTGTTCGTACGTCATTCAGATGCATTTGAGAATGTCAAGTGTTTATATAAGAATGTTACTCTTACAGGCAAACATGTTAGTTTGTTCATAGTTTATAATCGTGGTCAAACTTATAATCTACTCTAATTTATAACTGTAATCTCGTCCTAAATTGTCATTGTAATTCGACGAGTATCTCTATGTACACTTAACAGTTGAAGATATAATTTCGTTCACAAATATTCTCGCAAGTTTGTTGGGATTCTACTTGATCAACGTAACACCGACGTTGCGTTTTCACGTTACATGTAAATTTTCACTTTTACTTGAGGAATCGCCATTATCGCTTGCAAAAGTGGCACTTCTTGTCGGAAAAGGGACACTCCCGGTCGCAGGAGACTTACATACCACAAAATCCTAAATCGCATTGTTATTCTCCTATAGATCAAATGTTTAGTGCTGCTGATAAACACAAAACTGCATAATATTATGCGCGCATTTCAATGCATAACCAACTCATGAACAAGCGATTTTCACTGCACATCTTTCTCACATATCAATGAGTAATATGTCGAACAGAAATTAGTTGTCGAATATGAACGGATAACTCGCCTGCAAATTATTATGCTACACAAGCGCTTAGCTATAAAGTCGACAGAATATAAGTAGAGTTGCTTTATACTATGTTTAGTACTTCGTTTATTTTCAATTACCTTGCATCACTGTTGTTCATTGGTGGTGTCGTTAATGAGATTCTACAGTTTCACGTCATGATAATATTCAGTTCTTTTTAACTGATCATTACTTTATGGCAATCATATATCTCAGCAGTTTTCACGATGTAATATAGGGCGTTGTGAGGAAATCTTCTTACTTTTCTAAAATTCATGTCTGGCATGGCATACGATGGAAGTGAGCAAACAACTTGGTTAATTGCATACTCATAGCAACGGTCTCTACGTAATGATTATTTTAAAGGCGAAACAAACCGACACACAAAGCAGCTTGTATACTATGTTTATGAAGAATGTTCATATTCATGTTGTACACAAGCTAACGTTCCATGCGTACCTGTTTTTGTAGATAGCTGGCTCTGTTATATGTGAGCGAATCAGCTAGCTCATTTTTATTTGATATTATCAGTAATCATTACTGATTATTTCTTCACAGTTAATCGTCGTTGGTCTCAATGCTAAGAACGTCAACATAACTATTCGTTCATTCCGATCAACAAAACACTTCTTTCACTCCATTATGCTACACGCATTTCTTTCAATGACCAATTTCCGCAAATATTCACTCCATTCATTTCCTTTATGGTGAATATAGAATTATTGCCTAATAATGCTTTTTTCTTGGCGTTGTTTCATTAGTCAGTGAATGGAGTCGTTAAAATGAACAGAAACTTCTCATCTTAAGGCAACAAAGTTCGCTTCTGTTCTTGCATGTCTTGAACATTGAGTTGAGATTCAAATTGCGATATGAAATACTTATTGTACCATAGTATTAGATGCCGAATTCAGTTTGATGAACATTGTTCATTCCGGGTGAATACGTTGATAGCAAAGAATTATGAAACGGGGAGAATGTGCTAACAACTGGAACAGGTGATGCTAGTTGCTAGATGTAGTTGCTATTGTAGTTGTGCGAAATCAATACGAACGGTTAATTTAGGATGGGCGCATGACATACATTCACTGTTTCGTAGACTGTTTGTGTGCCGTCGGCTGGCCCTTGCTTGCTTCGCTTGCAGCACTACCCACACGTAATGCTCTTGTTCAGCACCAATACCTACAATTCAGCGGAATATAACCTCTATCGAACGAACGTATTATATATATA